ACAACTTTTTTAATCTTTCGTCTTAAATATGTTAGCACAGAGGCATTATCAGCCTTTCTGACTGGCCCAGCCTTGGCCAGTGGCATGTCCATTTTTTGAGCCACCGGGGACTGGTTCTGCTGGACACTGAAGAAGCTTCTAGAAGCTTCTCACAGCAGTCACCCCTGTAGCTTCCCCACTACCAAAAGCAGGCCATGCAAAACCAATACAGGTCCTCATTATAGAAAGAAATTTGAGAAATATGCTCCCATATTATTCTATTTAGCTTAATGTGTATGTTTGAAGGCAGATACTGACAATCATCTGAAAAAACAGGATCTAGACTAAACTAGTCCTAAGGTTCTTTTTATACAGAAGGAGAAAATCTCCAAAGACTGATTCACTCTAAATTCTTTGATTGTCTATTTTAGAAAGGTAGTAATCACTTCCTGGATTTGTCTTTTTCCACTACAGAAGAAATACAAATGCTTTAGAAGAGATACCAAACTTCCAAATTGCTAAAATTACACAAGATGAGTCCCAGCTGTAGCTTATTCTTCCCCTAGAACAGACAATCAGACATAAATTTTTCAAAGATTTAGGGCCTAACTCCCATTGATTCCTCACTGTGAGATTCTTTAAGCAGTTGACTTCAAGGAGAGCTACACACCTCAAAGTAGTGAATAGTTGAATACTTAACATCAAGACTGCAAAATACTGACATAAAGCTTAAAAATCGGTCTGTGACTATTTGAGCAGATACAGCCTTCAAGCCCTTTTTCCTGTGGCAAAAACTTTCGTCCCCACTGCAGAAGGTACCATAACCCCCACTCCAAGGAAGGGGAGCAGGATAGAGCCAAAGACATTACTGTCTGGAAGAGCCACTGCTAAGTTCAACAGAGCACTCTTTCAGATTCCCTTTTGGACCACTTCTTGGCCTTTCTCACCACAAAATGTTTACTTGAGAGATTATTTAAAAACCCTCAACAAACTAAAACAACAGGTAGAACAGACCTCGCAGGTGTTTTATTACAGTAGCACCATCCTGAAATTACATATACTTATTTTTATTCAAATTGACATTTCAACTTGAGTGTTCCTTAATGACATAAAACTAAGTCTTATTTTTTTTCTCTTTGAAGTTACATCACTGTAGCTGTTGATTGTTTAATTGCCCTTCCAATCAAGCACTTAACTTCCTACTTAGCCCCACACAGGACATGACTTGAAGACATTAAGAATTGTCACTAATGCAGATTGCCTTAGGATGTTTTAAGTTTATTTGTAATGGAGGCAAACACTCACTGTTTGGATGAATTCTATAAAAGCTGAACATTTTCTGCCCTAGGCAAAGTTTTCAGAGAGTTCATATGGTTTTTCTGGTCGTAATCACTGCATTCAAATTATGTATAATTTGGTTTTCATGGTTTCACTGTTGGATCACATAAAGTCAATTATAATTACTACCAAAAATAAATTTCTGCATGCACCTTGGAATATTCACCATGAAGTTATGACACACTAGAAGGAGATTCACAATTACTAGGAAATTATTTAAGAGTATTTTATTATTTTCGTCAAATGCAAATGAAATTGCAATGGTTAATCACAGGGTTTGAAATAAATGGTCATGAAGTCTTAGTGCTACTATAATCTAAAAGTAGTATCAATTGCAATACCAAATGGGCAGAAATAAAGGAAGTTAGAAAAGCTCTTCATTTAGAGTAATTTCCATGAAAATATTTCAAGACATAGGATGTGATTATTGTTTACACACAAAGAAGTGAAAAAACTCCTCTGCATACAATACAGAGGTAACTTCCAGACAGGTGCCTGAGGCAAAACTTTCTCTTGCCTATTGCAAGGTATTTCATGTAGGCAAGCAGCCTCCAAAAAAGCATGTCCTGCTCCACTTCTGTTTTATAAGCAGGATGGGTCTCACTGGTTCATCTCTCCCTCCAGCTGTTATTTTAGAAAAAAAAAAATTGTTAGCCTTAAGATTATTCTTTTTAATGGACTAAATCGGTGAATCTCCAAAAGACAGTAATGATCTTGAAAGCTCAAACTCATTTCCTTCTCTCGGATAGCCCTAAACATCTTCTTTGACAATAAATAAAACTGAACTGTGAAAGTTTAGGAATAAGCAGACAGGACATTAATTCTGCCACTGCTCCTACAGGATCATTTACTGACAGGAAAGTAAATAGATTGGCCATTGGTTTCTATCTCACTCTATCAGAAGTGAAGTGTGTCAAAGTGTAAGCAATGTTGTTCTGCTTCACTTCTGCTTTTTGCTGCTGAACCCTACCCAAATCACTTCATTTACCCAAGAAAAGTAGAAAAATCTGAAATTAATACCAGACATAGATTTGGATTACAAGGTGATCCAGGAGTACATGGGAAGACTTTGAATTCCTGAGGTGGCCCTAGTGGACAAAATAATTTAAAATTTAGTAGATGTAACTGTTCAGTCACTTTGACCTTTGATATTAATCCTGCAGCTCTAACTACACATAACTATATATGACTATATGTAATTGTCTGATGTAATGACTTGAGATTCCTTTGCAAAATGAATAAAAAAACTGCAATTAGATTAATTGAACTTTTACTAATGTTATAAAATATGTTCTAATTGGAATTCAGAACAGAATATGCCTAGTACCTTAATTCAGTTTTGCTTAATTTAGAAATAGGTACATTAATAATCTGCTAAACCCAGTCTGATTTAGGGTTGACCTTTTCTGGAAGTAGATTATTTTAAAGCAGTACCTGATTTCAGTGCATTAATGATATTAAAAAAAAATCATACTTAGGTTCTGGGTGTGTCTTTAGCCTTAAGTGAATACATATTTTAAATAACATATGTTTGGACTTGACTCTGATTTACAATAATCAGAAAATGAAAACGATACCATTAGAATCAAGCCATAGCACCCAAAACTGGGCAGTATCTCACTACATAATCCTCTGTACTACCAACTCATCCACAGGACTATGCTTCACAGTGTTGTGGAGGAAACTAATCTCATTAGCCAAAGAGAGAGCCTGAGAGTCTAGTTTTACAAGAATTTTCCTCTGAAGCCATGCTTCCCCCTCTTCAACATCATTCCCTCAGGCTGACCTGTATTCAGGCTGTCATGGAAAGGACCTGTCTTTGCATAACCACAAGTAAAGTCTCTTCCTCGTGCAGCTACATGGAAAACTGGCTAAGGAAATTATTCCATCTCAGAATTAAAGTGTGTGTGTGCTTTATTATTTTTAAGGGGTTTCAGTCAAATCAGTCTCGTAATCCTGGTGAATTTGCCATTATGCTAGTGCCAATGCCAAAGAATAGTCACCAGAAGTTCCTTACTACATGTGGAGATAACAGGGTAGATGAATGGGAGACCTCTTATTTTGATATAAGCCTACTTTTAAGCTTCTAAGATATAGTCCAGCCAAACTTGTGAAGGAGGGACTTGTATTTGCTTATGTTCAGTCACAGTGCACACTCAACCTAAAACCAGTGATGAAAACATTCCTGGAACTGAGGGCTGCAAGAACTTGCAGTGCTCATATGAGGTCCCTGAGACTTCTGAAAAGAGCATATCTCCCTGTAGGAAGAAAGACTTTCTGTCATGGACTCTGAAATACACATAGATATATATAAGCATTGTAGGATTCATAATATTGATTATTTTGAGAAAAGAAGCTGCAAAGACAAATGAACTAATTTTCTGAATTGATTTACCTTGCTTAACTAGCTGCATATGTTACTAGCACTAAATAAGCATAAGGTTTTTCTAAGGATACAGTATTCCCTGACTGCATGCGTGGTTTTCAAAATTACAAAACCAGAAGTTCCTGCCCTTTTAATCTCTTTCTTTCCTTGCTTTTGTTTCTCAGATTCTCTCCTGTTTCACAGTTCACATAAGCACCATATATATTATTGACTGCTATGATAAAATAAGTTCAAAATGCTTTGTTTCTAATTTTTCTTTTCCTTGGATGTTAAAACTGACAGCTTAATGATTCTCTTGCCACTTACTAATGAATCACCACCCTTACCAACACTAAAGAGAAGCTCACTTTTCCCAGAAAGGTGAGGCCTTTTGCTCTGCACTCTGGGAAATATAATACAAAGCTTAGTTACTTTAAATCTACTTTAATTTTTGTAGATCCTTCAATAATTACCTGGAGCAATATAAAGATCCTTCTCTTGAATTTTTGATTACTTTGCAAAATTAGCAAGTATTACCTATATGTAAACACCACATGTTCAAGTGTCTATCTTGGTGTTACAGTGTGAAACAATTGGATAGTGACAACAAATGCTGGAACTTGAGAAAAGAAGCTTTCCCATTTACTTCCATGGAAACAAGTACAGACTAATCATGGATAGCTTCAAAAATCGAAATTGAGCACTGTCCTTCTGTCTGTTTAGAACAGCTTAGTGTTTCACAGGCTTTGTTGATCTAATGTCACCCCAATGTTTTCCAAAGGAAGACTGGAAAAAAAAACTGCAATACTGACATGCCAATGGTACAAGGATAGTTTTCATTCACTTTAAATAAAAAATAACTTGTAAAGACATGCTAAGTAATTTCTGTCCTTTATTTTGTTTCTTCGCTTGTTTGCTTGCTTTTATGTGTAGAAAAAAGTGTGTTCCTGCAGCATTTGTTTGTTTGTTTTCCCATGGTAATTTCCTTAAGTAACACAAGTGGTCAATGGAGCACAAGCTGACAAAACATTGCAGAGCTCTGCACATCCTATGCATCTGAAACAGTCATGTTTAATTGTAGTTACTTAGGACTTGTCAGTCTGGCTTGCAAACTCATGACTCCTGGCTAAAGAATAGTTTTTTCTTTAACAAAATCCCCATATCATGAGATATACGTGGAAACAATAAAAACAAAGTTTCAGCCTTACAACAATTGATACGGGAGGTGTCAAAATTCTTGAGACTCCAAGTTCACAGCGTCTAAGATGTGTGCCATCTTTCAGGTGCACATATGACGGTGAGTGGGAAGGCAGCGTTCGTGAACAATTTGATGGCGGCTGCTCCTGCAGAGTAGGGGGGTGGGAAGCTTTCAGTAACGGAATCCGTTGCAGGGTCCGCACTTACATATGGAACTTGAACAATAGGTATTTACTTAAATTACATCGATTACCTCAGACATGTGGAATCTGTACGTCCTGCCCACTTCCCTGAACCTTTGGAGCCAGGATCCTGTGGGGAACGTAATGGGCTTAATTACGGTGTCTGGACTAGCCATGTAGGACCCGGAAGGCAGGAGTTAACCTCACCTCACCTTTTACATGCCAGTGACCCCAGGCTTGGCTGGGAAGCCTGGGGCCTCTGGAGCAGCTTCTGGATTACCAGGACACACCGCTACCTGGTGTGATGGCAAAGGGAAACGCCGCGCGAGTACGGCCACGCTGCCCGTGCCTCCTCACCTCGGCCCGGGCGTGCTGGGTGACGCTCGGGGCACACAGGGCCCGCTCCCGCCCGCCCATGGAGAAGCCGAGGAGGGCGGCAAAATCCCCCAGTGGCGGCCGCCGTGCTGCGGGGCGGGGGCCCGGGGGTGCCACCGCCAAGGCTCGGCAGCAGCGGGGCACGGAGCCGGCCCACCCGCCCTGACCCGCCAGCCCGGGGGCCCGGCCGCGGCTGTCACATGGCACGGGGAGGGGGCTGCGGCGGGGCGGGCCGTGCTCGGGCTGCCCGGCCGCGCGGAGGCGGGCCGAGGTGGCGGAAAGTTTGTGGAGTGGCTGGCGGCGGTGGCGGCGCTGCGGTACCCTCCCGCTTTCTTGTCTTTACTTTTTTCTACACACCCGTCTCCCATCGCCTTCCCCTCTCAGCGGTCGCTCCGGGGCATGAGCGGCAGCCGCCACCCGCGCTGAGAAGGAGGAGGTCGTGCCGCGCTCGGCTCTGTCCGCGGGGGGAACGCCAGGGACGGGAGCGCGGGCAGCGGCTCCGAGCCCGCCATGCTCCGCCGGCCCCGCTCGGCGCTCGCCGTCCTCCCGGCGCTGCTCCTGCTGCCGCTGCTGCTGGGCGGCCGCCCCGCCGCCGCCCGCTGCCCCGCGCCCTGCCGCTGCGCTGGGCGCCTCGTCGCCTGCAGCCGCCTGGAGCTGAGCGGGCTGCCCGAGCGGCTGCCGCGGGGGGCGGTGCAGCTGTGAGTATCGGGGCGGCGGGTTCCGTGGCGGGCTGGGGGCGCCGATCTGCGTCTGCCCGCCCGCCCGCCATCTTCTGCCCCCGGGGCCGCGGACGGGCCGGCTTCGAGGGGAGCGCGGGTGTGGTGGCGGCAGCGCTGGGGCTGCGGCCGGGCTGTCAGCGGGCGCGGCGAGGTCGCCGGCGGCCGCAGCGGGACAGCGTCCCTTGGGGCGGCTGCGGCCCCGAGTGGTGATGGCGATAAGCGCCTGGCTGAAATGGGCCCGGGAGCGCTGCTCAGTGCCGGAGCGGGGAGGAAAAAGTTCTGTAGAGTTCTTGGACAGTGTGCAGTAATCATCGCGTTAGCGCTGATCGGTGTTGGGAAGGCTCCCATCGGTTTTCTTCCCGCGGCTCTTCATTCCTGGGTAGTTTTGGCGCTGGCGATGGTGCGGGCCCGGTGCCGCGCAGCGGCCGAGCCCAGGGCAGCGCGAACTCAAGTGCCAGCTAAGGAAAAGTTACTTTCAGTGACAAACTTTTATAGAAGAAGCATAAATTAGGTCAGTTTTCTAAAAGCTTGAAATGGACGAGGGGCTTCTCACATTTGTTTTTAATCGCTTGTCACTGAAAGATCTATATTAGTAGTATTAATTTTCTATTACATTTTCAGTGCAGATCGAGATAAGGGCTTTAAAGTAAACAGGAAGACTTTCAATTAGTTGTGGCTAATTCTGTTCAATTGCCTCGTCTGGAGGTCATGCTGCTTTACTCATGAAATGTGGATGGCTGTATTGACACCATATGGAACTGAACACAGGCATGGCTCTGGGAGTTGAATATTTCCAGAACTGGTATACGAAAGTGTGAGGGGAAAGAAACTTTTTTTTTTTTTTTTTTTTTTTTTTTTTTTTTTTTTTGCTTCTCTGATTGAAACGTACAGATCTACTACTTCATCTGCTTTACATTCAGCAACTAGTTTTGCTTTCTATTACATTTCATTCCTCTTAGTTTTTTGAACTGTTTCAGTATGCCCACTTAAGTTTTCTGACAAAACCTTAGGATTTTGTTTTGATGTAAGGTAAGCTTTACAGTTTAATTTCTTAGCTTAGCAGACATTAATGCTGGTAAAATTCAGCTGTAGTAAATAAAAAGGGCAAAATCACAGAATGTTAATTTTTTAGAGTTGCTTTAAAAAGCATTTTTCGTTAGCAGTAATCCAAATTTGTTTTTTCCACTTATGTTCCCGAGAGACAATAAAACATATTGCAGGGCTTTTTTTTGTTAGCACAAGGGACATTGTTCTAATTAGAATTCCCTTGGTAGTGTAAATTGCCCTTATGTAAGTTCACATTCCTTTAAAAGTGTGAGAAAATAAGTTCCGCTTGTATAAATAAGCTTTGGTCTGTTTTAAGAAACCCTGCTGTGATTACTCATTGGACAGCTGTGTCACTTGCTTTTAAACTCACAGAAGTACATCTTTGTAGGTGTCACCAAACCATGTGGTCTGGCCACTTTTGTGTAAATATTTCTTTTGTTTGTGACAAAAGCCTTAAAAGTACCCAGCTCTTTTCTTCCTTCCCCTCTTAATAAGAACAAGGAAGAGTGTGGTGTTGTCTGTTACCTCCAGCTACCTCAGAACTTGGACCTGGGATTGTGCAATTTGGTAATTAATACGTTCAGCTTTACATATGCAAAAAAGGTTTGACTAGTTTGGATTATTATTGCAACAAACTGCACATAACAAATTGTAAAAGACTGTTTATGAATTTTACTGCTATATGTCTAATATGTTTTCCATGACACTCTATAGTGGGTATAGCCAAAGGCTAGCAGTTTAATTACAGGCTTTCCAGTCCTCTTGAGAAAACAACAGCCTTTTTTACCACGTTCTTAACATACACAGGCGAGACCCCCAAGCAGGAGAGTGGAAGCTCTTCTGCCTGAGAAGGTCTAGGCCCATGTTAGGCTTTACACCTTCCTTTGCCCATCTGTACTCACCCGTACAGAGAGCAGGTTTTTGAAACTCCTGCTGCATACTTTCATGCCTGTTTTGTTAACATTCCCTACTGAAATAAAGTAAGAGTGACTTTTGAATGGACAAAGGGGAAAAAAATGAACCTGATTTCTTCTTCCCATTCTTCTTGGTGGCAGGTGTGAGTCTACTGCATTGTATGGAAGTGTCTTCATAAAGTAGAGTGTAAACAGGCTATAATTGTCAACTTCACCGTGATTTTAGCTAAATATGGCTTGTTCTATTACCTTGTGTTCATGAGAGGTAACAGTCTGCTGAAAACTGATAAACATTTATAATGGCTTTGTGTACAGACAGTTTTGAAGTTGGATTTCCATTTAATTCCAGGATGTGTATCTTGCAAGAATTTGGGGTTGTTAGAGCTGGTGGAGGAGGAAGAGTGTTGAGCATTGGCCAGAGTTCTCCATGTGTGCAAACTCTCATTGGCACTGCAGTACCCTTTGCCAGGTTCACTCAGGAATGCTAGAACTGTCGGTGGGGCAGGAGGGAAAATCTGAAAAATGGTTTTCACTTGTGTTTGTATTACATCTTTAGTATTTACGTTTTATAAATCCTCTAGTTCTCTACCAGAATTGCCACGAAAAAAAAGCTGTATGGTTTTCACAGCTGTTTTTCAATATTTTCCAGACTAAAGCTTGAACATAGCAAGCTGATTTATGAGTCACTTTGGATCAGTGTCTTGAAACAGCTACAGCCTGGCTTTTTGTTTTTCAGCTCTGCTGATTTCTGCTGAATTAGCAGCTCTATAGGCCCCAGTGGGACTGATTAAGGAACTGTTACTGGATTTGCATTTTAAAATTTGACTTGGGGCTCAGGTTTCTGAGTTCTCTAAGGAAGAAGATGATAATTGTGACTAAGTGCTGTAAATTAAGTTAGAGTCTAAAAGTTATATCTATAAAATGTGTGAAGAAGCACTTGCCTTCTCCGTCTATGCATTAGGCTTCCTTTCAGCTTTTAATCACACAAACACAGATGTTCAGAATTAAGTTTCAGCTAATGCTGGGACTTGTGAGTTACAAAAAATGATCATACAAATGTAATGGAACAAAAATGTCCAATCACTATTAGAAATATGAGGTAAAGAACAGGTATATATGCTTACTTCTGCTCTAAAGAATTTCTTAATATATATCTGATTTCTGACTTTTTGGAGTGTGTTCTGTTCTATCTTCTATAACTTTTGAAATTCTAGTAGCAAAAGTAATCATAGAGGGCATTTTCTTCCCTCTTGTAATTTGGTTTTAACATACAAGGAAAATTCAGAAATGGAAAACACATAGTAATAATGTTTGAACAATGTCAGTTCCATTTTTGTGAAGGAAAAATAGAATCTAATTTTCCAACTTTTTCTTTGTGCATGTTTTAAGGTATGGTGAGAAATGCATTGGACTGAAATAAACTTCTAGCTTTGCAACTGGGATGATGGATTTTTATATTTAAAAAATGTGCCAATCCAGTGCTTATTAGTTTGAGAAACTTCTACAGGCTTAAGCTTCACTTAGATTATCAGTAAAAGGCAAATGTTTTAACTCTTGGTTCATTTCCAACCACTGTGATTGAACTTGAAATGTAACTTGCAAGTATTTTTTTACTGAATTTTCTTGAAATTTCCTATGCCAGTAGTACTGAAGTAATGTTAATAAAATATTTATATGTATTTTTTACAACTATTGGTAGACAAGCATATATACTGGATGAAACAGGCAATTCAGTATTGTCTGGAGGGTTAGGCATTTTTTTTGGTTTTTTGCTTTGGGATTTTTTTTTCCATCTTGTGTTTGACAACCTGGTGTAAGTAAACCAGGCATAAGAAATTTTTATGTATGTATTTTTTAAAGTAGGTGCTACTTGGAAAATGTGAATGTATCTTTAGTGTTAAAAAACAAACACCAAAAAAACCCAGTTTGAAACCTAGTGTTAGTTACGCTCACGGTTGCCTTGATAGACTCCAGATGGATGTGAGCTTGAGCTATGAGTGAAAGTGTCTGGCTCCAGTGTGGTGATCATGCACAGCAGTGGTTGTAATTGCAGGATTTTTATAGTTTAAGGACTCTGCCAGATTTTTTTTTTTTTTTTAACATGTTTTAACTCCAGCAGAACAAATCTACTCATGTCTGTTACTGTCTGGTAGGTCCTTTAGGCAAACTTGCCTTTAATAAACTTTTTGCAGTTTTTA